ACGAATCGCTCAGAACTGGATAAAAGCTCGTGGGGACGTTGCGGGATCATAATCGGTTGGGTTAAATTAAGGTCACAAGTTTTGTTAGTACACAATGCCGTTAAACAAAGCTAGCCTGATATAGCATTGGCTAAGATCCATAATGAAATCCACAAACCCGTTGGAATTGACATCAGAGAAACTGCAGAGATGAATAGGATCGAAATAACGTGAGGCTGCATTAGATGGCAAGGCCTAAAAAGGAGGAGGAGGGATTTTGATCAATTCTACCCCCAAGGGGATAAAATACCGAAGCGAAGCGAGGGCGGGCCACTAGTCCGTAATAAACCGCGCGTTACACCGCGGGGCACAGCCAGTTTCATCTCTTATCTATTAGACAAGTCCGTCCGTCCGTCTGTGGTGCTGTTTCAGCGGCCAAACCGTAAGAGATAGATAAAGAGAATATTTAAGTTATAAGTTAAGAATAGTCTGATAAGACTACAAATCGGATTTGAGTAACGTAGCACTTCCGGTTTTCGAGAAATCACGAATTTCAAATGAAACCACACAAAATCTCCGAAGTTCTCAATTAATTAAATACATTTTTTTTTTTAAATCAGTTTAATTTTGGTGAACATTTGGTTTACTGGTTTGCTAGTTTAAATAAGCTAAATAGCTTGCGCGTCACAGGTTTCTGTCAAAGTTAATTTCAAAGCCAACGAGCGTACGTACAGTTGCGTAACGGCAGTGGCACAGTGCAGTCAAGTGCACTTATGTAAGGAGAGCGCCTTGAACGGTTGAGCAAGCCCACGCCACGGAACCATCGACAATGGCGAACATAGCTCACTATTAATTCAACAGTCCCCACGTCTAGTCTGTCCTGTTGTCAAACCAACGCCATATTTACAGTCTGTAACTCCACAATAGGGGTGATGACGGGGTACAGTAAACGAAATTCTATTTAGTCCGTCAGTTAGATGATCAAAAAATAATGGACGCGTATTTTTTTCTTTGGGCAATCAACCAAAAAATGACAAAGTTATAGCGCGTCAAAGTTTGGGAGTAGGGGCTCGTGACGTCACTTTTAAAGTGAAAATTGTACCAAAACGTGACGTCATGCGACTTTTCAAATCAATATATCTCTGCAATGTTTGTATTATGCGAAAAAAGAAAAAATACTTGTCTAATGCTTTTTGATAATCTACCTTATAAACGAAGAAAAAAAAAATTAGTCATCATCCCTAATCTTCCAACAAAATAACTATGTTGAAGAAAGTATAATTTAATTTCGCAGTATTATCTTAAATTTTTACTGGAAATAACTGCACGTGATTTAGGCATCAGACAGGATATAGGAATATTTGAGAATAAATAGGTTCTTTTATTTTTAAGCATGTAACTGCTAGATTTTTAAATCTAAAGAAAAATTTACTGGTATTCATTTGACATTGTGGGTTACCTACATTGCAAAGAGATGGCACTGCCTTGCCGCCTAAGAAATGCTAGAGAAAATTTGAAACGGACATCAGAGCCACGGTAGCTTAATGGTCAGTGCATTCGCCAGGATAGCGAAGGGTTCGAGTCCCGTCTGCTGCCTGGTCCGCTTGGATTTTTTTTCTATTAAAATTTTCTTTCACATTAGATCACCAGCATATTAATGTCCTCACTGCTGGGGCACAGCCCTTCCTTATGGATGGAATATATATTGTATATAGGCATATAATAGATTGGGTCATGACCCACCACGCGGGCCCAGTGCGGATTGGTAGGTGCTAACGACTGAAGATACAGCCGGGGCTAACGAGTTAACGTGCCTTCCGAAGCACGGAGCTCGAGATAGTAAATTTCTTGGTCACCCATCCAATGACCGACCATTGCGAAAGTTGCTTAACTTTAACGATCGCAGCCGAACGCGCTAACCACTGGCGCCATCGAGCTTCTCAAATATTAAAATTTCTTTAGATTTATTAAATAGTTACCTTTACTAAAGTTTTCGTGGAAGCACTGAGATTACTACAAAGTAAGTACAACAATATTTATGGTACCAGAACTTCTAAGTATTTGTTACCGTTATTCACTACAGAACTACCAGAGGCTATTCAAAATAAAATAAAATATTCTAGACCCTTTGTTAAAATGTTAAAAAAGTATTAATTTAGAAAACCAGACAGGCTGTTTGGCGTGACTGGCTGTGGAGCGACTCTGCAGCACAGATAAATCTTTAAGGTTTTTGTGCTGTAATGATGTTTTTATTGTATGCAAATTAATTAATAAATAAATTGAAAAAAAAAGATACTGAAAAAATTAGGTACCTAATCTCTTATCTATTAGACAAGTCCGTCCGTCCGTCCGTCCGTCCGTGGTGCTGTTTCAGCGGCCAAACCGTAAGAGATAGATAAAGAGAATGTTTAAGTTATAAGTTGAGAATAGTCTGATAAGACTACAAACAGGATGTGAGTAACGTAGCACTTCCGGTTTTCGAGAAATCACGTGATTTCTATTTCAAACGAAACCACACAAAATCTCCGAAGTTCTCAATTAATTAAATACATTTTTTTTTTTTTGGTGAACATTGCTAGTTTTTACTAACAAACAAAGCAAACAGCGTAACTCAGTGTAAACAGTATAAACGCTTTTTATTCAACACATAGACACTATGTCAGTATAAATAGAACAAACAAGATGTACATAGTACCCCACTGTTACCACAGTGCCACCTTTGTCATTTATATCAATTGACAATAATACCCTTGCTTGGCTAAAGTGACCATTTGTAGTCTATTTTTGTATAATTCCAATAATCCAGGACTAAAGAATATAAATAAAGATTATTTCATTCTGGCATACCACTCATTAAATAAAACCAGTTTCAACGGTATCTATATTCATAATTCAGACGATGCAACCTATCAAACGTAACGTCAATATATAAATAGTTCAGCCCATTTATAACATTAAGGTATAAATATTCAAAATTCAGACGACGCAACCTATCAAGCGAAACGTCAATGAATAAATAAATCAGTCCATTTATACCATTGAAACTTGTTTTATTTGAATATTTCATTCCTTTCTTCCATGACATCACATCTCTACTACTTTCATTACAGTCGAGAGATCTTGTGCTGGTCAAAATTTTATCAAACAAAATGTCGATGAATAAATAAATCAGTCCATTTATACCATTGAAACTTGTTTTATTTGATTATTTCATTCCTTTCTTGTTCTTCTTCTTCCATGACATCACATCCCTACTACTTTCATTATAGTCGAGAGATCTTGTGCTGGTCAAAATTCTATTAAGCGAAATATCAATGAATTAATAAATCAGTCCATTTATACAATTGAAACTTATTTTATTGGATTATTTCATTCCTTTCTTCCATGACATCACATCCCTACTACTTTCATTACAGTCCAGAGATCTTGTGCTGGTCAAAATTAATAAGTGTAGCGCTGTTTTTACCACTTTTACAAATGATTATGAACACAAATAGGTTTTTCTAAGCGATGTAGGCTAATGACTTTACCCCCTGTTGTTAAGTGGTGATAAGTGAAAGAGACAAATTTAATAAATGCCTATTTTAAAAGATCCATAGCGTCATGAACTTTTTCCAAAAATTTTGGATGTAATTATATTGCAACCATCCAGGTTCTGAGAATTTCAAAGATATTTTCAAACACTAATTCTATGGCGGACAGAGAGGTGTCTAGAGTGGGAAATGCCCACCCTTGCTTCTCCTTAGCAACGCCCATTAATAGATGTAATAACTACTTGAAATGAAATGCACACAAAGTATACAAGGAGCACCTCCATTTAATGTTGTGGCGTTTGGTGTTAACTTCAGAATATTATTCACTACATGTAATCAAATAAAAATACTACTCTAGTCTTTACCAATTACCATCCAAATGCCTTCAAATATTTTGACAAATGAATAAACATTTTTATTTTTAATCATTCATATTGCAAAAGATAACGCATAAGCACCACATTTTGTTATGATATGCATAGCGTTAAAGATAACAGAATATATTTCAGTTCAATACTGAGTATTATGAATAACTCTGATAACAAAAAAAATCAAAACTTGATAAATGTAATTTTATATTTTTAACACTTATTTCAATGGGATATTTCATTTTGAATGTATTGTAATGTAGATATTGTTGGTATCCTTTAAAACGTTTAAACAATAGTTTTAACATAAAGACTTAAGTCTTCCAACCCCTGTAGCATGAGATGAGCACCACAATTTACAGTATATCATGTTTTTATTGCGTCTGAATATCAAACTCCATAGTAATTTGACAATTGAATTTGATAAAAACAAGCTATATACCATATCGCGCTGTTCATGCTAGAGGGCAGATGAAAAAGATGAAAATATCAAATGTTGAAGACTGCACAATACAAATCACCCTTATTCACAGACACAACTTTTAAGCTATTTAATCCCCAACTAATTCTGTTATTCTTTATGTCAATCACTTACACTTTTCTATGAAGTTGTTAGTTAGATATGTAAAGAAAATAGTTACAAAAATCGACCTACCTAAATGTGTAGTGTTGATTTATGTCATAACCCTTTTAAAGTCTTCAAATCAAAAAGTGATTTTGTGACGAAAGTAATATTATTTAAGGGGAATTGGGATATTTATTAACAAAGCAGCTATCTTATTCATGTACAGCAACTGTGATAAACGAGACAACAAAGAATGTTCACCAATTGTCAAATTGAAAGCAATCTTTTCAGTTGTCAATTACACAATAACGCCCATGGAAAAGTTTTAAGGTAGAACCAGTTAGTTTGTTAGCATGAAATCTCTTTGGAAAAATATGTAATTGTGAATATACCTTGATACCTAATTAGAAGTGGTGATTTACAAAACAAACAAAATAATGGTCACATTGAAATCTGAGTATTTGTAATTAATAATATTTAGTTGTCACCTTTAAAAAAAGAAACGGCACTATAAGAAAATATCATTAAAAAAAATATATGTAAACTTTTACTTACTGTTCAGCACATTCTGGTTGTACGAGACATTGAGTTGGGCCGCGAACTGAACAACAATGCACGTGACATTGTTCTCATCTGTGTACATCCAAGTTCCTTGTTCAGGAGCTGGGACCGGGCCAGGCTTAGGGGGTGGTGCTGTTGTGGTGGTAGGGGCTTCAGTGGTGGTGGTGTTAGGGGCTTTCGTGGTAGGAGGAGCTTGTGTGGTTGGGGGTTTGGTAGTGGTTGGAGATTTCGTAGTGGTTATCGGGGCTTCCGTTGTTGTGGTTGATGTGGTCGTCGATGTGGTTGAAGAACTGGTAGTGGTATTGGGTTTCGGATGCAATGCGTCCTCATTCACGTCTGGTGGTGACTGCTCCGCCGCTGCCGTTTTCGTTGACAAAGGGACGTCTATTACTTCAGTCTTAGGTGACGCTACATCACCACGACCTAGACATAAAAAGCACTCTCATCAATAACGAAGGTAGTCAAAAATAATTTGATGAACTTTTATTCGTCGTAATGACCGATTTATAAACGGCTGAGACAAAGAAACAGGCCAGTTACCACATTCGTTTTAACGTAAAGGGATAAAAACAACAAAACAAAGAACACCCACTTTTCTATTGCAGCAATTGTACAAGTGTACCGATGTGATTTTTACTCACCTAGCAAAGTGCAACAACTTAACACTGCTAGAAACACAATATATTTCACTTGAGACATTTTTACGTATCAAGAGTGATATTAGAGACTCAATTAAAGCAGAGATCTGCAAATTATTTCACAATTGCGATGCACAGCTAACGATTCGATAAAATATTCCGGTGCAAAGAAAATGTCTACAGATAATCAAATCAGCAAATGTCACAATCACAAATCCGACAGACAGGACAGCTGAACAGAGTTGCCACTTTAGTGAGAAAAAACTACTATTTCACTTGAAGCAAACCAGACTTTGTACTTTGATGTTATTAATACTATTTTATTATTATTTAAGAGTCTGATAAAATACATCACTGGGAATATTTTTCAAAAGAGACGGTTAATATTTTTATGTAGGTTGGCACCTGGTGTATCTCCGGCGGACTCCAAATTTTTATGAAATGTATGTATGTAGTGCACTTAATTGTAAATTGTTTGACAAAAGATTAGAATTAGTTTCATCCCCTGTTTTAAAATCATAATTATCTTATCCAATTAATTCCCAACTTATATTTTATATGTGAAAGTTTGTATTTTTGTTACTCAATCACGCAACAAGTACTGAACGGTAAAAATCTAATTCATTTTTACCGTGACTTACGTTACGTGACCATTATGTTTCGGTGTTTCAAATATTTTATAGGCCCTAGGATCTCCTGATCAGGAGCGTATTTACCGGCCAAGAGGGGTGTAGCTGTAAGTGGCACTCATTCACAAATGGCATTAGATTTTAAAATACGCCATTGCCCCTGATTATTAAAAGTCGGCTTAGTAATAAATAACCACAACCAAACTTAAAGACAATAGAGTAAGGTCTCAATTCTGCCAGCTTTTGCTTTAGATATTTGAAGTGATGGCAATAAGTACTGGTGATAGATGTGGCTCTACGACATACTAAACAAAGTAAGTAAATTTTTGACCACCTGATACTTGAAAGTTGTATGTATGTTCAGAGGCTTTTCTAACCCTTGTAGCTCTCATGTGCAATTCTAACGCCATCTAGTAAGCGCGCGGTCAAAATGTAGGTAATTGTAGCGAGTGATGCTCGGTGACCTCTGAGATCGCTGTGCCCGTGAGTAACGCACACCCTGCACCATGGGTAAAGCCGCCTCTGTATACATTTATTTTACGCAGTAAGACTATTCGATTATCCATATTTTGACCATCAGAAAATAAGTTAGGTCTGGCAGCCTGTTTTTTTTTTGGTGACGCAGGCAAAACCTCTGTTTACAGACGACGACGCCTTTAAGAGGCACACCGCTGAATAGATCCCACACCTGGCTCCCGCAAGCTTTACCGGCCCCAGCACTGGCTGCCCACTGCGGACGCCGTAACTCTTACGGGCGCTTTACGGCATAATATCCGCTAAAAATCCCTGCGAATACCCTCTTAAGCTGCTTAGTGCGAAGCCGTGGGATCCCCGTTTTGGGATTCTTCCGCATTTCCGCACCCAGCAGCTTCTCGGCCTAGCCGGGGAGGTCTGGCAGCCTTGGGATTTTGGACTATAATTTTAAAGGGTAATTTGAATATTTTCTTGAAACATCGTTGGATTGTTGGGTTACGTGTATAGAGTATGCCTTTCTTCCGTTATTTTATGAATTATTTTTCTCATTGTATATCTTTATATTTGTGCTTTTCTCCTTTGGAGTAGTTATTCTTTTTAAACACGCATACTTAGTAAATGAAAAACAAGTTTTTCTTTACTTACGGGAAGATGACACTTATTCTTAATTTCAGTAAAATTTTCATTGTAATGTGGCATCTATTATGATTTTAATGTGTTTTAATAGTATGAAATCTAAACGAGCCGCGTCAGTCCGTTACTAGAGTTGCCAACCCTACCATATAATATAGTATTAGGTGATCAAATACTGTATTTCTAAAAAAATATATAGTATGCGAAACTACTATATTCTTTTTAAAGCAAGCTTTATGCCAGTAAAAGCTTTCTTAAAATAAAAAAACAATATTACGGCATATAACAGCAAAAATATATTCATTTCAGAAAAAAAGTAAATATTTTAACCACATCCTATATTTTCCCACTTATTTGCTTTCTACTTTATTTTTAGAAGTAACAGCTTTGGAAATACTATATTTGACAAAAAAAAACTGGTTACCCTAGTCGTTACCTACTTAACGGCACGGGCGCGAGTGCGCGATCGTTGAACCCGGCCTGTTAGATCCACGGTTTTGTTTTTTCGTAGTATTTATTTATTAGTTGTATTTTATTTACCATGATTGCGTGTTTAAGAACGATTACTCAAAAGGAGAAAATGACATAAAAGCTGCACAAATACAATACAGGATGTAAAAAAACCTTTAACGAAGTCGAAGGCTACGTAATACCACAAAAATAATTATATTCTTTTAACTTAAAAATTCAAATGATTCCCACGTATAATATTTTGTAATCTTACTTGGTTGGGTGTACAGAATGCGTAGTGTTAGTCTTTGTCATAGGGTTTTTACACCCTGTATATATGAAATGAAAAAACAAAAATATTCTAAACAATCCGAAAAAAAAACAGCCATGCTCTATACACTTAACCCAACAATCCCACGAAGTTTCAAGAAAACTTTCAATTCCACCCTATATATATACTTGGTAGAAGCTAACCCTAAAACATAAAATATTATTTATTTTTACAGTCTGCTACTCGATGACACGGGGTGAGTTTACAAGCTGCTAGGAAACTCGCTGGCTTGTAGTTTGTAAACTCGCCCCATAAATTAATTAAGGCTAATGTAAGATTCTTACTGTAAGGACCTACCAAGAGAACTCAAGTGGTAAAATTATATCAATCAATGGTGTCGATTCCGGCATGATTCTCTAAACTTACAGCTAAATTTAACATTAGTCTCTCCTTTTCACTCTGCATAGAGTATGACAAGGATTCACTGTTGTCAAATATATGTTTAGGTTTAGAGAACCATGCCAGAATCAACACCACTATTTAAACTACCAAAGTAGATTATTTATAGTGTGATGTAATCACTACGCAGTTGGCTATACTGAATTAAACAGGCTACCAACATTAGATTGAGAATCACAATAGAATAGCACTCATTGGTGCACAGCGCGGCAAATCTAAAGGTTCAAATAAAACTTTTATAGTAAATAATCTTCAACTGAATATTGAAAAAAAAAATGTGTTTAAGTATTGCGCCCGTGGTAACATAATGGTCAGTGCATCGGCCCGGATAGCGGAGGATGCGGCTTCAAGTCCCATCTACTGCCATTTTTTTCTAGTAAAATTTTCTTTAGATTTTAACATTTAGCAGTTAAATGCTTTTAAAAATCGAACTATAATTGCTATTTCTTCTTTCAAATGTTTAATACTTGTAAAAGGTATTCATTTGTCATTGTGGGTTACCTACAATGCGAGGGAGCGGCCCTGCTTTGCAGCTTAAGAAATACCTAAATACTAGAGAAAATTCGACACGGTAAATTAGAGCCGCGGGTGCATTATGGTCAATCCACCGCCCGGATAGCGGAGGATGCAGGTTCGAGTACCGTCTGCTGCCTGGTCCGCGTGGAATTTTTTCTAGCTATTACCTGCCCAATACTATCTCGATTTGAACAAAGATTTGAAATTTGAAACTATATATTAGATACAACAAACCTACTATAAAAAAGAAAACGTATTTAGTTTTATTTTTATTTATTTAACATGACGAAATACTTACATAGACTAGATAAATTAAGTTTAAGTACTTTATTATTAAGTTTTTACAATATAAACTACAAACATTCAACTTAGTAAATAGATCATAAATAACATAAACATTATCCTATTTATTCAGTGCATACATTCAAATTGTTGTTGGATTATTAACATGTAGTTATAATTATTAGAATTTGTAATGACTTCACAAATATCAGGTACTTACTTGTAATATTTCTACTTACTTACTATGCTATTCAAATAAGAATAGGAAAGCCAATGACCTCCATCTATCAAATGTCGGTTGAAAATTACAGTTTGCAAAAAAAAATTTTGTTCACTCTACCTAACCCTCAGAGTAACAAAGTCTTTACTTCTTTAGTCATTGACCTAACTTGGTTGAATTGACAGCTATGACATTACAATATGGCGCCCAGACGGTCCTATTCTTAGTTGAATCGCACCGTAATTCTGATTTAATAAAAAAAATATCGTTATTATTATTTAATGAAAACAGTTCTGTTGTTACATCAATCGACTTATGAACTAAATCTTACATTAAAGTTTATGAACAACCCTAACACTTATTGCATGAAAGATTTTGAGTAAATAATTGTTTGCCAAAGGTACTACGACACTCAACAAAGTTCAGAATCGATTCGCTTTGTTACACGACTGTAAAAATCTATTGAAAAAGAAGCCACATAAGTATTAAATAATACACTCCCACATTATTCAAGAAATTGATAAGCATAAATTAATACTTTATACTAGACTTGCAACGAGTATTCGGTATTCGGCCTATTCGGCTGCTTTTATTATATTCGGCCGAATACCGAATACTTAAATAATTTAATTAGTCATAGAAAAATAATTGGTAAAATGAAATATCAAAATCGATTGATTACGTATATATTCATATTTTCAATTCTGTTATATAATCATTTAAGTAGTCATTGGTACATAACACAGGTATATAATCATCTTCTGAATTGGAAAAATGGAGGATTCTATGTATTTGAATTATTGTGGTAATCAAAATTTAGAAGTTAAGGTTCTCATTTCTTTTTTAATCATTTATTAAGTAGTCATTGGTACATAAAACAGGTACATAATTTAATCATTTTCTATTTTAAACAAGTTAACAGTTTTTAATTCATTCAGTCATGTGATGAATGGTTACATAATAGCAATAATTTAACGTTTACGTGCCGTTTTTGGCCATATCTCAAAAGTTGTTTTTGTCATTTAGCCGCATTTTAGCTTGAGGACGGCAGATTAGAACAAAACAAAGGAGCGCGAAACAATCACGTCTGTACAAGCTTTTGGCGCTAAAATCCAGCCGAATACTTTTGCCTAATATTCGACTCGGGTCAGGGGCCTCGCCGAATATTCGGTATACTGCCGAATATACTATTCGTTGCAAATCTAGTAAAACTGTTATTAACATCTACGAGGACAACATTCACAAAGCTTTATACATTTTCAGTTATTAAATTGACGTCACTTGTATCAATCCATCCATCCTCAATGAAGAGCTCCAGAGCTATTCTCTAAGCAGAAACTCACTATTCCCCGCTGAATCCGCGAGCGATGATTTGAAATTCGCATACGAATTTAATGAGGGCTACCGTTTTCTGTCTCACCAGATGGCACCACTGTTGAGTCAGGTCCTGAATTGTAACTTAAAGTTTATTAATACGCGCGTGAAATCAAAGTTTACATTTAAATCATATTTTAATACAAAAGAACCGTATCCTAAACATAATCGGCCATGCCACAGTGATGCGCAGTTCTATTTTGTTCGGAAAAAATGGAGGACAAAATATTTTTTCTTAGCTCCACTTTAATATAATATAACTGACATTAATTGCCACATAACTCAAATTTGTCATAATTAAGCCGAGTTATTACCAAATATTCGCACCATTATTTTAATTAAAAATAAATCCGCGTAATTAAGCCACAAGCAATAACATTACGGCGACTCACGCTACACTAGCGCCTCTAGCGGCGGATTCAAACGTGATAGCCTCATTGAAATTGGTGTTCTAATTTCAAATTACTTACATGCGAATTCCGTGGTAAAAAAGTGAGCTTTTTTTTAAAGATGACACTAACTAAACTACCGAAGAAGACACATGTGTATGCATATTCACTTATTAAAATATTATTTTAATTTTATTCTAATGATACGAAGCTGTATATTATCTTAACGCATGGTATGTAGGTATATACCTACTATAACTTATCAGAACAGTACCCCTAGCACGAACCAATATCGAATTCGTATCGTTTCCGAGTCCGAAATGTCATTGTCAAATGTGTACTGATTTTTAGTTCTCGTTACGTACTTTGTGCCGCTGCTGTTCAAGTTTCCATACAAAATTTGACATTGACATGTCGGTTTGCAAACTATTCGAATTCGATAATGGTTCGTGCTAGGGGTACAGAATTATGCTCTTAATAAGTTCAGACCGAAAGCACAAAATCCGAAAGCCTGTCGATGGTAAGTCGACGGAATACATTACATTAATGTTTTTTTTTATTAAAAATTATATCAGGCAATACTCCATGTGAAATCAAATTACTATCCATTGCCAATAAATAAAAAAAAAATCAAATTACTAATTCTATTTTTAAATTGATAGCAATAGACTTTTTGTACGAAACTTGTCTAAACAAACTTCGAATAACGAAAAGTGAAGCATAATCAATCAAGTATTTTCTTATTTCTTATTTTCATGCAGGCCGGCAAGCTAAGGATGGCTGGTGTGGCAGGTAGAACTGCTGTACCAGCTATCTTCATTTCTGGACTTCACCGTCACTTAACATCAGGTGGGGTGGAGTCATTTGACGGACCTATCTAAGTATATATAAAAAATAAAAATAAAACTTTTTGAGTTTTTATGCGCTCTATAAGCGGTCCATCATCATCATTGATTATTGATTATTAATTTCGTTTATTATTATTGATTATTAATTACATTGTACATTACTCAATTGAATGTTGTGTGTGCTTGTAAAGGCTTGCATATATGTCTTAGAATAAGTATTATTTTAATTTTTAATGTTTTTAATATTATGTTTAGCTGTAAGTACACCTATTAAATAAATAAATAAATAAATAAAATAAATCATTACTGTTTTTCATTTGTTTTTCAACGTTACACAACAAAAAGAATGTCACTAATCAATCAATGGATCACTTTTCATTAGCCACAGAGTAACCGTGATCATTAGCTGAGTGGCGACAGCCCCATCGCCGGTGACGTAATGGCAACACTCAAGAGACACTTTCCGACGAAAATATTGCTGTCATTCTATTAATAATTGAATGTTCAAATATAGAATGCATAGGTAACTAATTGTTGATGAAGAGCTCGAACCTAGCGCGGCCCACCCGGCTATAGGGATCGTAGTATATGTCACGTGTCCAGATGCGACACTCCACGTTGATCAACACCTCGCCTGAAAAATATAAAATATTAGGTATTATATTGCTGTCACTCACACACATAAGAGCTCGATGGCGCAACTGGTAAGCGCGTTCGGTTGCGATCGTTGAAGTTAAGCAACTTTCGCAGTGGTCGGTCATTGGATGGGTGACCAAAAATTTACTATTCGAACTCCTCTGTGCTTCGGAAGGCACGTGAAGCCGTTGATCCCGGCTACATCTGCAGCTGTTAGCACCCGCCAATCCGCATTGGGTCCGCGTGGTGGATCATGGCCCAATCTCCCTATTCCATACATAGGGAAGGCCTGTGCCGTTTTCTCTTTACCGTACATATCCATCTTAACAATACTAGACCTTCAAAAATACAAAAAAAATGGGTGCGTGTACTTATGTAGGCGCGTGAGAAGTTAATCCTTCTTTGGCATCGTTTAAAATTAGTTTTTAATTGCATGCAAATAATTAATTACAATAAATTAATAAAAAGTCTGGAAAAGGACGAAGTCAATAAAGTTCAGTTTTAATTTGAAAAAATAAATAAATAATCAAAATATTCAATTAAAATCGCTACTGAATATAATTTATTAGAACTTATGTGATTTGCACTTGTATGAAACTCAAACACGTATTCCGAATATACAAACTAGAAACATGTGGATAAATATTATAAATATGAATACCTATAACTGTTACTTTATTACAAAAAATAAAGATGTGGTTTTTGGTTCTACTACACCAATGGTCAAGAGATGGCGCTGTAGTCTCCTGAATCGCGCTTTGGTTCCGTTGTTCCAGATTAATAAATACTTTTGATAAGCCTTCACAATGCAGTCGTTAGCACCCACTAAATAGAGATTCTATTTCTATTTTGTTGGTAGATTTTCTTAATGTGCGGTAAACACAAAAGTAACGCATGAAGTTGGTCGCTAAAGCGAAAATTTTGTGTTACAGTGATGCGCGCGCATCTTAAAATTTCACTCTCATCATTTTTTCATAACGCGCCTAAAGAAGCATAACTTCAAAAAAAATCATTGGATGGTCATAAGATCACTTACGCCTCGGGTTCTCGAAGAAGATTGCAATTAGAGGGGGCGGGGTTTGGTCCGGCAGGTTCCTGTTGGCGTAGGGGATCTTGTCGGCGGTGTGCAGCCGGGAGAGCGGGAACCCGGGCGGCAGGCCGGCGGGGATGAACTGGATGGGCCCAATGTTCTCCTTGTCCGAGTTCAGTTCTCCACCGCACGAGACCCACACGTAGTCACCGAACATTTGGGCCGGCCGCTGGATCTTTGAGAAGTAATTTTTAGTTTAACACACACCAATTAGCCTGGCCGAAAGCACTGTAAGGATTGTGTTGTGGGATACTAGGGTAACGGATAGAATACATATACAGTACATCTATATATATAAAACTCAAAGGTCTGACTGACATAGTGATCTATCAACGCACAGCCCAAATCACTGGACGGATCGGGCTGAAATTTGGCATGCAAGTAGATGTTATGACGTAGGCATCCGCTAAGAAAGGATTTTGATCAATTCTACCCCCAAGGGGATAAAATAGGGAATGAAAGTTTGTATGAAGCTTTGTCAATTTTAAACCGATCGGGCTGAGACTTTGCATGCAGGTATAAGAAGAATCATAGATGAATGTCATTGTGTATAATACAAGCCTGAGAACAAAAACTGTAGTCTACACTTCAGCTCTACACCGAAGCGAAGCGAGGGTGGGCCGCTAGTTCAATATAAAGGTAGAGATCTAGCTATTATTCAAAAATCAATGATTTTAGGAGAAGTAGGCAGAAGCTTTTTCTTTACAAATTAGAAAGTTCATCAGGAGAAGACGTTACCTCCGCTTTATAAAAGGCCACAGTTACATCTCCCTTTTTTATGTTATGTTCTTGTCGGTATGTTAAAGGTTACAGCAGACTACAAAGGATTAGTACCTAGGGCTGGGATCTGGGTAAAAATCGCGTGTGTGATCGAGTGATCTGGCATTGCAAGTCGCAAACATGTATAACCTGTGACCCTATTGTATGTGTCCTGCTTGCATTACACCACGAAGGCGGAGCGGATCGCAGAATACTTGCGTACGAAGACCAATTTCTCCCTGAGGGTCGTGCGTTTGGAGTCTCGCCACGACGTGAATTTTAATTCATTTGTGGTGAGAGTGCCGACTTGAACATATGGCGACCTTTTTGAAAGAGGAGCTTTGGCCGAAAGCTGTGGTGTTCCGGCGTTTCAAAGGCAGGCTACCAGACATCACTCCGCGCCACACGTCGCCGACTAAACGTGTTATTTAGAATTAGTTATTATTTTATATTTCATATCTATGTTAGACTATAAGGTATATATTTCTATGGGCCTACGATGCCTGAATCCAAAAAAGAAGGTTTTTGTGGCCTCTTACCATCTGGCGGGCCATATACCAACTTTTCCTCTATCACTATAAATTCTACGCATAAGCGAATGAATTTAGTTAAACTCGGATAAAACCTCCATTTTCTTATGATATACGAATCATATACAAACCATGAATTGCTTCAAATACTCCGGCATCTCCGTCGGGATCGCCAGCGAGCTGGATACGTTGTATGGTTGTGGCACCCAGTAATGCAACTGCAAAATAACGTTTAGATTTAGGTTTTTCTTCAAATAACATCCTTAACTTTAGGATAAACTCGATTTTTAAGAGTAATTTTACTGGGCTGCCATTTTACCACTTGGCTCCTCAAATGCCTCAAAATGAAATTGTTGATCGACATGGTACCTACAGACTTCTAAAGAGTCTTGTGAATGGTCTAGAAATAAGCTGTCTTAGGATAGGCTTGCTTGAAATTAAATTTGTGGAGCTTCAAATCACTGTTTGTACATGCTGAATATTAAAATGTCTATAAAGACAAAAAGGCAACGTCTGATAATACGCTGGTAAAGTTTTTGATTTTTCTAAGAGAAAGCAGAACATGAGGAGCTGTTAGAGATGTAACACATCTCGCTCGCTCACAAATGCTAATTATGTAAGGAAAAGGAATAAACCTAATAGGCCAAGAACTATTTCTAAAAATAGGTACATACGTAATTGAGACGCAAGAACACGCAAGGTGTGCCCATTGTGTATCCATAGTATTCGTCAATTGTGCATGGAGCCCACACCCTCATAGCCATCTCGCAGTTGTTGGATCGGATCTGCTGCTCCTCCCGGTTGTGGATGGAGCATGGAGCCCGAGGAGGATCTTCGGGAATGGTCGTCTCGTACGCTACGGAGCAATAGCATGATGTTTTATTAGTTCTTTGTCGTCCCTACCTACATGAGCATCTCGCGCTTGTTGAAGTTGATCTACTGCTAGTGTCGAATATGGATAGAGCTTGGAACTTGAGAAGGTTGATAGTTTAAGTTCTATTTTCTTATTATATGTAAAATTTCCTTGCAGCTGCATTTCTAGCGTCCAATGATCCAAATTGAGTTCGAGTGGTTGGCGTTGTTCTGCGCTTGGAGTAGTTCTATCCATAGAGAAGAACTGGGCTCATTGACTGGAAATATTAAAGCTGATATTGATGGATAGTCTTGTATGGTACTAATCATCTTCAGCCAATTAATGTCTCTGGGGCAGAGGTCTTGCCTACTCGGGCCAATGAATTGGAGGGCAACTGCAGACGTTGGCAACGGTTGCAACCAACAAGTGTGCTTCCGAAGTACGAAGCAGCTGAAAATAATAAATTTTTGGTCATTCATCCTACATCCATTCATCCGGCCATTGCGTAAGTTGCTTGACTGACGCATTGCGTTAAGACCAGTGTTGCCAGGTCTCCAGATTTTACAGGAGATCTCCTGTTTTTCTGAATTTTCTCCTGTTCTACTGTTTTTCTACATGAAACTCCTGTTTTTCTTAGAATACGATTTTATTTTTTAAATTGTATCTTGAGTTGCATTTTCAGCCATTAATAATGTAGGTAAACTTATTAATTTTAAAATAAATGTTTTTGTCGAAAAAAAAACTAACTTTAAAGGGGCGGTAGAAGCCACAGAAACACATTCGTTACTGGTCTTTATCTTGATCTGATTTACCAATTCTAGGGGAGGGGGGGGTGCAAAAAAAAGTACGTCTTTGCATCTAATGTTTTTCTTGTAGTTCTTTCCATACATCTACTGTTTTTTTTCTATAACACCTCCCGATTTTTAAAAATTGGACCTGGCAACACTGGTTAAGACTCTCCTCAGTTCTCACTCAGCTGCCATCACGTAAGGTACTCTCTCCCACTTCCTTCTAATCCTCTCCATCCAAAGGTTGCCTGGAAGAGATCGCTATAAGCGATAAGGCCGCCCATTGCATCAGATGTACTAGATGGTTTTGTACTTAATGTTCAATGTGTTTTTGTGGTGTACAATAAAGAGTTTTTGTATTGTATTGTACTCACGTCTGAGGAAGTCGTTGATGCGTTTGATCCAGGGGTACACGGTGCCTTTGTTCGAGGGGCTGAACTGTATGAGCGGCTCCTCCCATTTGTAATCGTCTGTTCGAGGCCATACCTCCAACTCTGCATGTGGAATCATTCAAATTATTCATTAAAATAATTAAACAATCTAAAAGTATTGCTAACTAGTGGTGCGCCCTCGCTTTGCTGCGGTGTAGACTATATTATAGTTTTTGTTCTATTATAGCTCATGACACTCACAAATTAATAACGTGGCTTTCTATTGGTAATAGAATTTTCAAAATCGGTTCAGTAGATCCAGAGATTACCCCCTAAAACCTTACATCACAAGCTTTACCTCTTTTTAATATTAGTAAAGATAACATTTTCTCATGTATGATGTAATCTTTAATTAAAAAATGTAATGATTTTATTGTATTCCTTAACACACATTACGTACATACTTAGGTACAGTTTTTTCAATATTAGGGATTATAGATTTATTTTTAGCAATTACAAGAACACAGCGACAAGGCGACGAACATCGCCGTCTGGTTACGAATTTGTTCTTGTATCTTTGCAACCAAAATGATCAGGGTAATTAATATTTATATGTTTTATGTAATTTCAATAGTGTTTTATACATAGAAATTACACCATGGAAATTGTGAAAAAAACAAATCTGTTCGATTTTTTATTTTTTTTAAGCTAAGGGTTCGAGTCCCATCTGCTGCCTGGTCCGCGTGAAATTTTTTCTAGTAATATTTTCTTTGCATTCAAAACATCGAGTAGTTACATGCAGAAAAAATATACTTAATGTATAAATAGTTACTAGTAGATTTATTCAACTAGAAACATGTGGATAAATATTATAAATATGAAAACAGTGATCAGAGGCGACGAGCGTGCCAACATTGTTTTTGACAACGCGATCATCTTATGGAGCTCCGTGGATCGTTCAAAGTACCTTTCGAACAGATGTCTAATAATGGTAGATTATTAACCACTAACTGGTTAATAATCCACCATTATTAGACACTAACATTCATAACGCGCCCGCGGCCAACTTCATGGTGTTACTATTGTGTTACAGTGATGCGCGCGCATCTCGAAATTTCACTCACATGATTTTTTCATAACGCGCCCGCGGCCAACTTCATGCTGTTACTTTTGGGTTACAGTGATGCGCGCGCATCTAAAAATTTCACTCTCATCATTTTTTCATAACGCGCCTAAAGAAGTATAACTTCAATTATATCTTTAAATTATTAATTATATCTAAAAATAGGAGATATGAGTCCGTTGCGCTTTCTCAAGCATGACCCATAAATCACACCCGATTTAAAAAATAAAAACATTTACGAAAAAGTAAAATATTTTAAAAGTTATCATAATACGAAAATGTTAAAAACGGGTTCTATATATATATATATATATATATATATATATATATATATATATATATATATATATAGGAGCTACTAGAGGATTCACGTAACATCCCTTTCTCAATGTCTGATGCGCTCGGTTATTTTTTCCTATATTCTACCCCTTCGTACGGCCACCCCCATATCATGCAAACCGCGGCAGATAAATATTTTTTCCGTTCTTAGAAACGTTACATGAACCCTCTAGTAGTTTATATTCAAAAGACTGACGATTTGGGCGCGACCAAAAGTCATGACCGTTCGTTGAAATTTTGTATTTGCTGCCCTAGACGTTCGGCCCTACATATGTACAGGGCTCAGGTATGGTGGTAGTACTTAACTACGTGCAAGGTTGCTCCCCATATGTTATTCTGCCGCGCTCGAGTAAATCCAAAAATCCCCGCTTGGGCTTCCCTACTATTACACACCAAAATGTCGCTATGAATGTAGAAGTAGCCAGTATAAGCTATTTGACATTTGTCAGAAATCTGTGTAGATGACATTGTAAGTGAAATTGCATCTTACAGAATGCTTAAAGTTTTCTTTTGCTGCCAGTCCAGTATAACTCTAAATAAAAGGGAGGTTTTCCACTTACCCACATATCGCTGATTGAGTAGCAGTCCCAGCGTCAGCCCCAAGATCCCACCTACAAAAATAGACATACATAAAACATTGATTTCATTAGTCTTTCTTTACATACAAAAAACAAACGCCCAAAGGACGCTGAATCCAGAAACGACCGTAATGGAGATAAAGATAGGGAGGATTATGAATATAACTAGCAAACCAGTGAACCAAATGTTCACCAAAACCTGATTTCTCGAAAACTGAAAGTGCTACGTTACTCAAATCCGGTTTGTAGTCTTATCAGACTATTCTTAACTTATAATTTAAATATTCTCTTTATCTATCTCTTACGGTTTGGCCGCTGAAACAGCACCACAGACAGACGGACTTATCTAATAGATAAGAGATACTTTTGTATACACCCCGGGAAAGTTTTTGACCAAGGACCGTAGACAAGGAATGCGACTACAGCGCAGATTTATTTGTATGTGACTTTGCTCTGTATCATCATCATCATCTGCCTATTAATGTCCCCACTGCTGAGGCACAGGCCTTCAATATGGATGGAATAGGGAGATTGGGCCATGACCCACCGCGCGGGCCCAGTGCGGAATGGTGGGTGCTAACGACTGCAGATGCAGCCGGGACCAACGGCTTAACGTGCCTTCCGAAGCACGGAGGAGCTCGAGATAGTATATTTTTGGTCACCCGTTCCAATGACTGACCACTGCGAAAGTTGCTTAACTTCAACGATTGCTCTGTATACCACACTAATATTATAAAGGCGAAATTTTGTGAGTGTGTATGATTGTTACTTCTTCACGTCTAAACGACTGGAGCGATTTAAATAAAATTTGGTATGGAATTACCTGATACCCTGTATTAACACATACGTGGGACACTCAGAAAATTTTGAGGATCTAAAAAACTAACTTCTATGAAAAAAAATTTTTAATAAATCTTTTCAAAGAACTCTACACCAGCCTCTTCAAGTTTCATGCGTCTGAACCAATTTTCAAAACTATCTTTCCAATCCTCCGCAGACACCTCTTCCACGGCCTTCTCAAACGCTGCTAGCGCTTCTTCCGGCGGTGGAAACTATGTAGCCCGTTGAGCTGATTATTTATTTTAGGAAATAAAAAGAAGCCACACGGACCCAAATCAGGAGCTCTACTCTCTTTCTCCGAAACGAAATTTCGGCAACGAACGAATTTTAAACGAAATTTCGCCAGTGACTCTAGGTACTCTATTTCATCTTTGAACACGCACATAAACGGGGGACAATCACAGACAATTATCGTGAACGAATGGAATGAGTTATGTTTGTGAGTTCTTTTTGTCTACACTTTTTAGATAACGTTTTTTACATCAAAACAATATTAATTTATGACAACATTTTTGATTACATTAAAACAACCTCTTTTGACAGTGTTAGCCGACTAATTTGTGGAGTTGATGCAAAGTGTTAGCCGACTAATTTGTGGAGTTGTTGAATGTATGTCAACCTAAATTTGTCGTGTAACACTTTGCAGCATTGGCAATACAATGGTGTCCATTCTGGCGTGATTCTCTAATCTTAAAACTAAATTTAACATCAGTCTCTCTTTTTCATTCTGTATAGAGAATGACAAGGAAACACTGTTGTCAAGTTTAAGTTTAGATTTAGAGAATCGTGCCAGAATCGACACCAATAATAAACAAAAATTTGATTTATTTGTAATTTTTTTCATACTAAAAAATGTTCCTCACGCTTAGCATCCTTAATTAAAAATACTATAGTAGTAATTTTAGGTTTAATTTAAACAAAAATCCCAAAACGAAAATGAAAAGGTAACACTTTTCATTTCGTCAATTTGAGATTTAAATTTCGAACAATTATCTGTCAAATTAAATTTGTTTTGTGAATTAGAGTAGGCTTAGAGAATTTAAATGTCAAACTATTTTCGGACGAACGAATTTTCTAAATGAAATAGACACAGAGTAAGGAACGTGCGAAATTTCGTTTTTCGTCGAAATAGAGTAGGCCTCCAGGACTGTAAGGAGGGTGTCCTAAGACTCTGACTGGTGTGGAGTCCAGGAAGTCCTTCGTTTTGATCGCAGAGTGCGCGGGCGCGTTGTCGTGATGAAGAAGGACCCCGCGGACCCGGTGTTAGGTCGCTTGTTGCTCATTGCAGAAAAAACTTTTGGCAGGCATTTTATGCTATACCATTCGGCGTTAATGCTGCTTTGGTCTCGAAGTGGAATTGAAATTAGGTACCCCGTCAAAGTGAAGAAACTAGCGATCAAAATTTTTCCTGCGCTCCTCGATTGCTTCGCTTACGTTAGGCGTTAATTAATTTCGAAACTGCCAAACTGTCGACTGACGCTTTGTTTCTGGATTGTATTGATAAATACAGGATTTGTCACCTGTTACAATATCGTGAACGCGCCGTGACTAACCACACGGGCCTACTTCTGAGCTTCGGTGAAGTTAAGTTCCAGAGGGAAACTATCCTCCTTACGCAAAGGTGCTCGTGCAAAATCTTGTGAACCTTTCCTGAACCAATCTGCAGAGTATGCTGAATCTCCTCGTACGTAATTCGTCTGTTTTTTGAATTAAATTTTTCACTGCCAGCACACTTTCTTCGGTGACAGCCGTCGTAGGACGACCACACCTTTGTTCATCCCCAAAATTAAGACGACCGCGTTTGAACTCGCTGCACCAGCGCGGTAGATGGTTGCTTATGAAGGTCCTTCATCCATAAAAGCAGTTCGAAATCGATCAAATGACTCATCAGGTTTTAAACCACATTTAAAATCGTAAAAAATCATAGCACGAAAATGTTCTCGATGCAGATAATTTTTTTAATGAGACAAGAAATATTTAATTGGCTCTCGAAAAAATGCGGAGGGTGTAAAAAGAACAGTGGTATTTTTACTTTTAAATAATCGAAGTTTTCAAAATATTACAAGCGGTCATGTGTCTTATACATAAAAACTTTTTTTCGCCAAACTTTCTGAGTGGCCTTGTAGGCTACGTTTTACTGCAGTAAAATATCCCTATCAAGCCGCGGGTAACACCGCGTGGCACAGCTAGAGTATATATATATATATAGAAGTTGACCCCAACACAAGTTTGCAAGTTTGATGACAACTTTCAATTTGACGACACTGTATGAAATAAAACAGGGAGAAAAAGCAGACCTTGCTGAGTTTCTTGCCGGTTCTTCTCAGTACAAGGTATCCCGCCCTTAGTTTTGCGAACCGATGGCGTAGTTTTCGACTTTCACATGTGCTTGTAAAAGCCTAAACCGAATAAATTATTTTTGAATTGAATTAAATTATATTAGAAAGGCGATATCTTATATATAAAATTCTCGTGTCACAATGTTAGTTACCATACTCCTCCGAAACGACCTGACCGATTTTTATGAAATTTTATATGCATATTCCGTGGGTCTGACAATCGGCTACTATCTATTTATTATATCCTTAAGTGACAGTGGTTGTCCACCTGTAACGTAGAGTTCTGAAACCTACAATGCGCCTTCACGCCAAAATTAAAACAAAACTATTGGGTATTGTAACGTAGTGTTCTCATAAAATATGGGTTAGGAGGAATGTTATCCCAGGAAATTGATAGAACACTACACACCCCTAAAATTTTTTTTGGACCATATTTTTTTATATAATTTGGTATTAAAAAAACATACAACCCTAAATTTTCTCTATTTTTATGGCGATACGAAGTTCGCTGGGTCAGCTAGCCTATATTAAAAAAGGGTAGCAAGGCAAATGAGCTTTTGGCCCGTCTGGAAAGCAAGCTGTATAGTGGATACTGCTATATTATTATATATATCTAATAAAATACTGGTGTCGTTCCTGTCAGGATTCTCTAAGCCTAAACTTAAATTTGATAACACTGTATCCTTGTCATTCTCTATACAGAATGAAAAGGAAGACTGATGTTCAATTTAGTTTTAAGTTTAGAGAATCATGCCAGAATCGACACCAGTATCTAACAATAGTATATAGATCAGCGGTTCCCAAACACATTCCCGTGTACCCAGTGTACCGCACAATTTTGAAATCCATAATTTTCCATCATCCCTCTAAAATTATTGTCTGCTAAATTTCAACAATCATAATTAATGCAACTGTTGTATAATGAAGGGTTTTTAAACACAACAGTGTGGGTACGGGACGAGTATTTGTAATCTTTTATAGTTTTGTGTTGAAGTTGCTTATTGATAAAAGTTACTTCTGAGATATAAAGTAGTTTATTTTTAAGCTTACACATATAAATAAGGGGTTTCAAAACCTTTAGCTAGCAGCATTAACAGCAGATATGAACTTTTGAAATCATCAAGACTAACTCTGCAAGCGATCATTTTGAGAAAACAGAATTACCAGGGAACAATATTTTATTCATTTAATTGAAAACTTTGACCGTATGACGTTAGGGGTGATGACGGGGTACAGTAAACGAAATTCTATTTAGTCCGTCAGTTAGATGATCAAAAAATAATGGACACGTATTTTTTCTTTGGGCAATCAACCAAAAAATAACAAAGTTATAGCGCGTCAAAGTTTAGGAGTAGGGGCTCGTGACGTCACTTTTGAGTGAATTTTCGCTTATAAGTGTACTCAAACGTGACGTCATGCGACTTTTCAAATCAATATATCTCTGCAATGTTTATATTATGTGAAAAAAGAAAAAATACGTGTCCAATACTTTTTGATAATCTACCTGATAAACGAAGAAAAAAAAATTAGTCATCATCCCTATATATCACACTAAGGTGAACCTGAAAAGATATTTAAATAATAATTCAAATCCCAATTATTAGATAGAACCACAGGCCTTACTTATTCATTACAGATAAGCCCATAGGGAGAGGAGCTCGACGGCGCAGGTGCTAAGCGCGTTCGGCTGCGATCGTTTGAATGAACGGTCATTGGATGGGTGACCAAAGATTTTCTATCTCGAGTTCCTCCGTGCTTCGGAAGGCACGTTAAGCCGTTGGTCCCGGCTGCGTTTGCAGTCGTTAGCACCCGCCAATCCGCACTGGGCCCGCGTGGTAGGTCATGGCCCAATCTCCCTATTCCATCCATAGGGAAAGCCTTTGCCCCAGCAGTGGGGACATTAATAGGGTGATGATGATGATGAAGCCCATAGTGCACTAAATATCCTTAACAGTTGGTGTTAACTCCAGGAAATAATAATCCCAATCCTTTACAAGCATTTAATCTTCAATTAATATTAATATGATGTATCCTTTATGCAATCAAACGAAGCGAGTACAAATTTTCTGTGTCTTGTCTTCTCTCAAGAGCCGTTATAATAAAAAACGATTGTTGCCGACAACGCCCGTCGGCCGCCGTCGTGATCATTCGGTAGTGTTCGGCGGTTTGCGTATTTCCCGCGCGTAGTTCAAGCGCGAACAGTTGGTGCCAAGTCAGGGAAAGGCACTGAGCACCAGAATACACTCATTTTAGATTAAGCTTAGGATTTACTTATCCATCTCAAGTGGTGCCGTGGCCAGGATACTGGCACGATACCCATTTTAAACCTGTACAAGACGCTACTCAATCGCATCGCATCTCAACACGAGACGAATCCGAGTTTGATAAATAGTATCATCAGCCTATTAATGTCCCCACTGCTGGGGCACAAGCCTTCCCTATGGATGGAATAGAGAGATTGGGCCATGAACCACCACGCGGGCCCAGTGCGTATAGGTGGGTGCTAACGACTGCAAACGCAGCCGGGACCAACGGCTTAACGTGCCTTCCGAAGCACGGAAAAACTCGAGATAGAAAATTTTTGGTCACCCATCCAATGACCGTTCATTCAAACGATCGCAGCCGAACGCGCTTAGCACCTGCGCCGTCGAGCTCCTCTCCCTATGGGCTTATCTGTAATGAATAAGTAAGGCCCGTGGTACTATCTAATAAGAATAAGCGCATAGGGCCTTGAATTTATTATTTAAATATCTCTTCAGGTTCACCTCAGTGTGATAACCCCACACTTGTGTTTAAAAACCCTTCATTATATAACAGTTGCATGAATTATGATTGTTGTAAATAGTATCACATGAGTGTTTACATCGCTCAATTTTATTACAAAAAAGAAACAAAATAATATTGTTTTGCAATACTTATATCGAAGGAAATCAATGTAGGAAATACGAATAACCTAAACCTTTTTTAGCCGGCGCTTTGGTAGAGAAAAGCGTGTGAATGACAATGTATTTTTTTATTTGGAAATTTATACAACTTACCAATATACTAAGAATGTCTATTCTTAAAAACAGTGATGTTCACACAATTAATACAAGAAACAAAAATAAACTAACTTTACCTGCTACTAGGCTTCACAAAATTAATAATTCATTTCAAGGTCTTTGTGTTCGCTTATACAATAAAGTCCCAAGCAATATCCAAGAGTTAGCCATAAATAAATTTAAAGATATTATAAAAAAAAAAACACTTATTAAAAAAGCTTATTACAAAGTGTCTGATTATATTACAGACAAAAATGCTTGGGTTTGAACTGTTCCAATCATTCCATGTATTGACGTTGTAACAACATAATGATTTGTAAATGTTGTTACATTAGACTTTTAATGTTGTGGAGTTTTTTTCGCTCGTTTTTCTCCGCAGCTAAAAAATATGTCCATAACGAGTGGTAGGGAAAAAAAATTTTTTGGACGATTCAAAAGAGTTGTACTATACATCCAATTTGAATAAAGATATATTGATTTCTGATTTCTGATTTCTGTAGCACTCCGATGAGTTAACCCTTTGCGCGGAAGGGGTTGAAAAAGCGAAGGATCTGTAGTACACAACTAACATCCATTTAGATGATATTACTTATAGTTTTTTTTTATTAGAACATTGGTTGTTTAAATTTCGGCAAAAATTTGACTGTTTCACAATTTTATTTTTTATATTAAGAAAATTTAAAGCATGGATGTAAATGAATTTTATTTTAAAAACGATAAATTATTAGATATTATTAAGAAAATAGTTATAGTTTTAACCAAGTACCCATATGTTATTTCGTAAACAAATTAAAAGTGCATTGTCCTTTACAATAAGGCAATAATTCCCTGTAGGATATTATAGCATTACTAAGGTTTCAAGCTTAAATACCAACTTAAAGCGCATTAAGAGATGCAAAGTTTATGTTAAGTTGGCATTAAAGTTAGGATTAATAAAATAAAAAAATCTCATATTATAGAGGCATAATGGATAAATCAAGTTTAATTTAAATTTTGAATCTTATCAAATTTACTAACCCAAAAACTCTCAATTCGGATATAATAAAAATACATTTTTGTTTAAATCGGTGTCTAGATTATTGTTTGTATATGTTTATACACATATATTACGCAAAAAAGTTAAAATATTGCTTTTATTTTTAGATATATTTTGGTAGTTAGTTTTAAAAATAAAATGCTACTGCGTCATAGACTATTATTTATAGACTCCACACAAAATGGACCTAAAAAAATAAGTTTAACGCGTAATTAATTAAACGTAATGAGCTCACCGATAACAAGCAGGACCACAACCACTATCACTACAATTTTCACGGTCCGATGTTCCGCGCCCATTGTTGGGATGTTACAAGTTGGGAATGTTGGGAATGTTACAAACTGGGAATGTTGGGGATGCGTGCGTGCGTCGAGAGAAAGTCCCGCGGAATAAGTTAGCGCGTTGTACGGGATGCGGGAGTGACGTCATCGCACCCGGAGGACATAAACAATTGCACGCTGTACAATGCCTCTTGAGATTATTTTGAAAGGTAACCAAATAAATTAATCATATTTAGAGTCTTCAGCTAAGATTTTCTCAAGCTTTGGCATTCTCTTTGTATTAATTACTAGTGGCCCGCCCTCGCTTCGCTTCGGTGTAGAGTTGTAGTGTAGACAATAGTTTTTGTTCTCAGGCTTGTATTATACACAATGACTTTCTTTATATTTACCAAGTAGAATATTTCCGTCATACATGATTTCTATGTAACTTTAACCATTAAGGCTGCACGCGCGACGGAAGCTTAAAAAATGGAGTAACTTCTCCCGTTTTCCCAACATTTTCCTTCACTACTCTGCTCCTTTTGATTGTAGCGTGATGAAAAGTATACTTTAACCTGCCCAGGAGTATGAAGAATAATTGTACCAAGTTTCGTTAAAATCCGTCGAGTAGTTTTTGTTTCTATAAGGAACATACATACAGGCCTCACAGGAATTGGCCTCTCTACAGATTTATTATAAGTACTTATAGATTTATTAAGTACCGTAGATAAAAATCGGAAAAGGTTACTAGAATGATGAAAAACTTTTCAGTTGTTGATTGAACTTCTTTTAAAATACATATTTTTAGAAGTCGTTATATTTAGTTCAAGTTAAAATCTTCGATGAGTATTTTTTTTTAAATTCGGCGACGTTCGGAAAATTTAACATGAATAGGAGCGACAATAAAAGATTTCTTCTTTCTTTTCTTGTATTTATAAAAGTAAATTTTAACCTAAGCGAGTCTTTGAGGCATGGCTAGATGAAATTTAAATAAAACTAGTGGCCCGCCCTCGCTTCGCTTCGGTGTAGAGCTGTAGTGTAGACCAAAATGACTCATTATATAATTTAAAAAAAAATGGTTGCCTGTAAAGTCGGTTTTACGGGCGAAGATTTTACGTGACAACGTCTTTTTCTCGGTAGAATATTTATTGATATGAATATAATTAAATTGCACAATAGGAACAAGGAATTGAATGAAAATAAGAATTGCACAAATTTTAACTATAGAAATATATTTTGTTTACTAAAACATTGTACATGTAAACTTAAACTTAACACGAGAGACTCATCGTAACGTTACCGAGCGTTACACTTTTTCATAAGTGACTCCCAGCCGCAACCTAATTTAAGACGTTGTCACGTCAAAAACTGAAAATTGTATATTTGCCTTTTCCAAACTTCTATTGACATCACGACACTCAATTGTTTTGCCTTCCCAGAACTTCTCCACTAACAATTGAAATTTATGGTATGGTATTAAAGTTCAAATTGACTTTTATTATTACGAATCGTTTGTATGGGAGTATAGAAAAGTGTTGTTTTTGGACTTTCTCAGGCAATTTTTTTAATTTTTCTCTGCGTAGGAACCATTCTAGTACTTCAATGAATATTCTAAAACAAGGATGATCGAAATCGCTTCAGCTATTTAATTGAGCGATTCATTTTTATATTTTAGATTATCTCTCTGTTTCATGTGATGCACTTCCGTCGCTTTATCAACAGCACAAGCGATATAATTTGTGCAGTGTTTCTTTTAAAATGTATTGAATTTATGTACTTCATTTAAATGGATTACTTAAAGCATAATCCATAATAATATAAGGTAATGTAATTTCGTTTTTTACACGACTGCAAATGGAGAGTTTTTATCAAGGTTCATTTGAGTATAGCTTTTACGTCCAGCAATTAACATTATTAAATAAATAATAAATAAATAAATATTTCCAACACTCACACCAATTATTATTATTCTGATATAAAATTATAGTATAATAAGTTGTCATGTAATTTGTAGATGTGGAAGAACAAATAAAGATTATTATTATTATTAATTATTAGCCTAGCCCCAAAGTAAGCACTACAAGGCTTGTGTTATGGGATACTAGGGTAACGGATAGAATACATATACTGTATATATATAAGTATATTTATATGGAAAATACATATTAAACATCCATGACTGGAGTACAAATGCTCGTATTTATCACACAAACATCTGCCCCCACAGGGATTTGAACCCAGGAGCTCTCGAGTCGGCGACACCATGAAAAAGTTCGTCCAGGTCGTATTAACTTTATTGAACTTGTTTTTCACTTTTAATTTTTGTTTTGGCAAATCAGTTGTACATTTTATTTTCCTTAATAATTGGATATTTTATTATTAATCTAAAGGAAATTCTATTAGAAAAAAATCTACGCAGTCCAGGCAGCAGTTGGGATTGGATAGCGGAGGGTACGGGTTCGAGTCCCGTCTGATGCCTGGACAATGGGGATTTTTCTCTAGTAGAATTTTCTTTAGATTTATAAATCTAGCAGTTAAATGCTTAAAATTAATATAATAGACGACCTCCGTGGTCGAGTGGTTTGTACGCCGGGTTTCATGGTGTCGCCGACTCGAGAGGTCCCGGGTTCGACTCCCGGTGGAATACGAGCATTTGTACTCCAGTCATGGATGTTTAATATGTATTTCTATATAAATATTCTCATATATGTACAGTATATGTATTCTATTCTATCCTATATGTTACTCTAGCATCCATATATCCATCCATAACACAAGCCTTACAGTGCTTACTTTGGGGCTAGGCTTATTGGTGTGAGTGTTGGAAATATTATTTATTTATTTATTAACAATTTTATTATTATAAGTAAACAGTAATGTATCGTTCCCTATTTGACCAGGCTCGGGGCGGGCGCCGACAGCGGGGCGACGCGGCCCGAAGCCCGACAGGCTGGCGCCATGGACGCTCTTCCCTTGCACCTCATACCTCGACCTTACTGAATTCGCAACCCCCTCGCACCCTCCTTTGTGGACTAGAGCTAAACAAGTATTCATTGAAAGTAAACTTATCGGTGTCAGAGCTGTCGTTTACATGTTCATTGATAGTGAATAATGTTTTCAATACCTGATGTTTTTGATCTTTATGCAGAACTAGCGGCCCGCCCTCGCTTCGCTTCGGTGTAGAGCTGAAGTGTAGACTACAGTTATTGTTCTCAGGCTTGTATTATACACAATGACATTCATCTATGATTCTTCTTATACCTACATGCAAAGTCTCAGCCCGATCGGTTTAAAATTGACAAAGTTTCATACAAACTTTCTTTCCCTATTTTATCCCCTTGGGGGTAGAATTGATCAAAATCCTTTCTTAGCGGATGCCTACGTCATAACATCCATCTGCAAGCCACATTTCAGCCCGATCCGTCCAATGGTTTGGGCTGTGCGTTGATAGATCACTATGTCAGTCAGTCACCTTTGAGTTTTATATATATATAGACTAGCCCCGCGGTGTTACCCGCGGTATTACCCCCGGTTTATTAGGGATATTTTCCCGCAGTAAAACGTAACCTATGTGTTAATCCAGGGTGTCAGCTAACTCCATATCAAATTTTATTAAAATTGCTCCAGCCGTTTAGACGTGAAGATGTAACAAATATACAGACTTACAAACTTTCACCTTTTTAATATCAGTGTGATAAGAGTACGAGAAGAATGCAAGCAAGAATGGCATGAAAAATTACAGTAGTTGATAAATTTATCTAAAAAAATAATGCATTTTTGCCAACTTAATGGCAGCTTATTGAGGCCCTCTTTGAAAAAGTCTGCTGGACGAGAGGCAACAAATTCTTCAAAGGCATTTTGAAATACCTCTCGGTTATTGAATTTTTTCCTCTCTAAGAAGTTATTCAAATTCTGGCAAAAGTAGAAGTCTGTAGGAGCAAGGTCTGGTGATTACGGTGGATGACGGAGAACTTCCAACCCCAATCCTCTTGTAACTTGGAGACCGTCTGCTGTGCACTAAATAGAGATTCTATTTCTTTTTGTTGGTAGATTTTCTTAATGTGCGGTAAACACAAAAGTAACAGCATGAAGTTGGTCGCTTTAGCGACTGTTAATTTTTTGTGTTACAGTGATGCGCGCGCATCTTAAAATTTTACTCTCATCATTTTTTCATAACGCGCCTAAAGAAGTATAACTTTAAAAATACCTATAGAATGTAGAATGTAGAATATGAACAAAACTAGTTTTTCACGGGTTAATGCACGAAACTTTATTTAAAAAAAAATGATTCCGACAAGAAACGTCAATAAATAAATAAAGTTTCGTGCATTAACCCGTGAAAAACTAGTTTTGTTCATAGAAACATAATTTACAATTACGAAAACTATGATAGTTTTCGTGAGCTCAAACTCGTTCTAAGGGTACAGCGGGGCTATTCTGTAAAATTTTCACGCGCGGATCCGGTGCGCTTCCGCGCGAATCTATATGGTAATCGAGCGGATCCGCATCAGATCCGCGCGTGAAAATTTTACAGAATAGCCTCACTGGTTGGAGATGTGTGAGCATCGCCATCATTGTGTTCAATTGTTCACAGTACACATCTGCAATAATGCTTATCCCGTTTGCTAAGAAGCTGTTAGAATGACACCCGCGTTAGACCACCAAACAGTGACCATCACTTTTTAGGGGTCCGTTTTCAAGATAATAATAATAATAATATAATAATAAATATTTCCAACACTCACACCAATTAGCCTAGCCCCAAAGTAAGCACAGTAAGGCTTGTGTTATGGGATGCTAGGGTAACGGATAGAATACATATACTGTACATATATAAGTATATTTATATAGAAATACATATTTAAACATCCATGACTGGAGTACAAATGCTCGTATTCATCACACAAACATCTGTCCCCACCGGGATTCGAGACGGCGACACCATGAAACCCGGCATACAAACCACTCGGCCGCGGAGGTTGTCGGAGGATATAACCAACAGTGCTGAGCACTTGTGATTGTCGAACAGAAACTATATT